CGACTGGAGGGATGCTCGAGCTATAGAATTGCGAGTAAAAACGACTGGAGGGATGCTCGTGCTATAGAATTGCGAGTAAAAACGACTGGAGGGATGCTCGTGCTATAGAAATGCGAGTAAAAACGACTGGAGGGATGCTCGTGCAAAAGATGTGAGAGATAAGATACCAATCATTAAGGTATTGAATATATCGTTATCTCAGAATCACAACGTTCTGTTTCACATTTTTGGCTGTTTTGAGTTACTACGACCATGAGGTCAGAAACCAAATGTCCTATCTGCTGTATCAAATTCGTAAGAATATTCGGAGTCGTTCTCAAAACATTCAAAGAAATGCATTTGAAAAAAAGGTGACAGGTCGTGAAACTGAAGAAAAAACCCCAATTGTGAGACAGCGTGGTAGAATCAGGCTCTCGTCAAAATAATCCAAGTGAAGAAACTTGCATTTTTCCAAAGGTTTGTGAATTTTTAGCAAATTTTTGTTTTTTGGCTCAACACCTTTCATGCCCAGTAAAAAACTCATTTCTGTGTGGATTTTTCTGAAAAATGTTGATTAAAGGCACAAAAAATGTAAATTTTCAGTTACCACGGACTCTCAAGATAAGGTAATAACTAATATTTGGAGGCCATTTTCTCACGAATTTTACCTCTGAAGACAGGTGACCCCCTCCTCCTTCATTCACAAATATCTCAACATGTATTCAAGATAAACGGATATTTTTTTCATCCAAATAAAGACAAGTGAACACGCTTGAAGATGATACCAATAACTCTATGTGCCCAAAAATTGACGAGAGCCTGGTTCCACCACGCTGCCTCACAAATGCATTTGAAAAAAAGGTGGCAGGTCGTGAAACTGAAGAAAAAAAACAATTCTAGTTGAAGTCAAGTTTCTCAAAAATAGGCATTGAGGAGACAGAAGTTTGTAATTCTGAGGTAGCGATATGGAAATCTCTCTTTACATCATATACTGTCCCCGTGGTTTTATGCACCCCGCATAATTTATCTCAAAATTTGATCATTTTTTGGGCATAATTTCTGATTATTTTCCTTTATCATTTTTATGTTAAAATTAACAGAATCGCATAATTTCACATTTTTGGGCTCAGTTTGCATAATTTCAAAATTTTTCTTGCATAAAACGATGGGGACAGCTTATTGTAAATTTTCTTTGACAACCGGAAGTTGTCGTGGTGACATAAGCCGGATGACGAAAAGGTTCGAAGATATTTCCCATGGTTTGATAATTAATTGCTGTGACATTGTTGAATGAAAAGCGAAAATATGGGACAAAGTTGTAGCTTCGATATCTTTACCACTAAGGTTATATACTCCAATAGTATATTTCTGAAGTGGGGATTTCTTGATTTTGCGTACTTTTGGTCCATAATCATAATTTTGGTCCATCAGTGAATATACGATGATTTTTGTCTCATTTTGAGGAACTGCTTGTCACCACAATGTTTCTGCTACTGCTGCCTTGTGACTGTGAGTTTCCAAAGTATGTCATGAACCTTTAATCAATTAAGCGTGTATGATTGTGTTTTTGCGGATGCCGTTTTTATTGCTAATGTCTTTATTATTACTGTTGCTGTTGTCAAGTTGTTGATGCTGTTTGTGTTGTTACTGCAGTTAAGTTGTTGTATCTGTTTGTAATGTTATTGTTGTTAAGTTGTTGTTGCTGCTGCTGCTGTTTGCGTTGTTGTTGTTGTTGTTGTTGTTGTTGTTGTTGTTGTTGTTGTTGTTGTTGTTGTTGTTGTTGTTGTTGATGTTGCTTTTGTCGTATTGTTATCTTGGGGGGTACCGTAGCTAACATGTTTAGATTTTACTTACTTACACAACTATGACAAGCGAATAAATTCCAGCGGCCGTTCTGAGAAAGATTAAGAACCAGACGGTTACTGGGATTTCAGAGCTTCAACGGGTAGCCTACGAAGTACTAAAGACGAGGTTTTCTTCTTCTCTCTAGGCCATGCTCAAGCCAATGCAGGTCTCCATGACAACGCCTCTCAGGAACATACACTTGTATTTCGGTTTGTTTGTTTTTTGTTTTGTTATGTTTTTCCTCAATTCTTTTTTTTCCTGCAAACATGTTATCAGTTTTACCGCATTACTTACATACCACTATAAACTAGTCGCCTACTGTAATACATGTTACGTCTGTGGTGTAGAGGTTAGGTTCTTTGTCCTTGCGCCCTGATGACGCGAGTTCCATTCTAGAGTGGGAAAGTAACAGGTACTATATCATAATTCGCTTTTAAGTACAAAGGGGCTATCCCGAAAAATGCCGTTTTGAGAAAATTGAAGGTACAGTTTTTTGCCCCTTGTTCAGTTTCTTTAAAAGACAAGGAACGTTTTCTCTATAACCCAACAAATATACACACCAATGGATCCAAAATTATCCCTATAGGCAGGGCAATGCCTACTTTTGGTGTAGGTCAAGATTTCTGGAAACCCCCGAAATCTGGGTTAGCCAGCTTGTCCTTAAAAGCGACAATTATTATACAGAACATCTCCGTCTGTCTGCTCGGATGTTGCACTCAGCACAGCTCGGGTCGGCCTACACAGACACAGTTAACAAGCAGCCCGCTTCCACAAGGAGCCGACTGAATTGGGTCGAAGAAGGACGCAAAACATTCATAACCAATCATCATTGTCTGTACTAGATCTAGTCATTCTAATTTACTACAACCTCTAGTCATAGATGCTGCATGTACTTGATTTTTTATTCTAGTAGTTCAATGTTTGCTGCCATCGTCCTTCTATGAACCATAATAATTATTGTGCTTTTTGTAGAGTGCCAACATAATATTATAATATCAGTAAATACTGTAGTTTCATTTTCAATGAGTTTCATAAACGAGATTTTTTTTTTTTAAGTATCGCGCTTCTGTTAAGAGCAACTTACAGGCTCCCTTTTTTTCTTTTTGGGACTGGAGATCATGAATATACACATAGCATATTATGTAATATATCAGAGTGAAAGTACCAGTCTTGTGTATATGTTGTTGGTTTTGTTTGTTTATTTGTTTGTATTTTGTTTTGTTTTTAAATTTTTGTTTTGTCTTTTATTCGTAGGTTATAGAAGTCATCGTTTCCTTTAAGTTTCTTTCATTCCAACAGGTGAAAATAAAAATACTGACACAATTAGACGCACACTCACACACATACGTTCTCAAACATACGCTCGCTCTCTCTCTCTCTCTCTCTCTTTCTCTCTCTCTCTCTCTCTCTCTCTCTCTCTCTCTCTCTCTCTATCTATCTATCT